AATGCGTGCTTCGCGTGGTCGGTAGTAGCCGCTCTGTACCCCGCAGAAAATCATGTGTATCGGTTATCGTCGTATCCATATTACTCTACAGTGCTCAACTTCGCGGATATCGAATTTCCAGTGAAATTAAAAGACATTTCAAAATTCGAACGCTCGAACAATGTGTCGGTCAACGTCTACGGTATCGAGGATGGGGACATCCTACCTCTTCGGCTCACCGACGACAAGAAAGAGAGGCACGTCAATCTCCTGTACGTGCAAGACGGCGACACAGGACATTTCGTGACGATCAAGCATCTTTCCCGACTCGTAGGATCGCAACTCTCCAAAAAGAAGAATAAGAAATTCTTTTGTGATCGGTAAGTATAATAAATAAAAAATTAAATATTAAGAAATAAAATTTTTTTTACTAATGTATGTTTTTTTGGTTTTTTTTTTCAGTTGCCTCCATTATTTCAGTACCATCGTGAAATTGGAGATCCACAGCGAGGACTGTGGTAAATTAAACAAGTGCGCTATCCGCCTGCCTAGCGAGGAGAAAAAGTGGTTGGAGTTCCACAACTACGGCATGAAGGAGCGGGCGCCGTTTGCAGTATACGCCGACCTGGAGTACGTCTTGCGAAAGACGGAAGACGCCGCAACATCGACATGTCGTACGCGTACCAGCAGCACGAGGTATTTAGTATAGGGTACTACGTGCGGTGCTCGTACGACAATACGTTATCGGCGTATCAATGTCAGCGCGATAACGACTGCGTCAGCTGGTTCGCGCGCCAGCTCGAGGATTTGGCGCACCGCGTAAAAAATATAATAACGACCAACCGGCCTATGGATTTCACGCGAGACGACTGGCAGAAATTCAACAGTGCGACGCACTGTCATATCTGCGAGAAACCGTTCGCGCCGGGTGATGAGCGGACACGCGACCATTGTCACCTCACCGGGCGATACCGCGGCCCAGCGCATAAGGGCTGCGTGAATTATAAGGACTCTCTGTACATTCCGGTTGTATTCCACAACCTATCGGGATACGACCCGCACTTCATTATAAAAGAAATCGCTACAAAATTCAAGGGGAAAGTAGATCTACTTCCTCCGACTAAAGAAAAATACATTTCGTCCACTAAACACGTTAAAGACACTAGTGACGAAGATTCGCGAAATTGCGTTAAATTAAGATTTATCGATTCTTATAAATTTTTGAGTTCGAGTCTAGATAAATTAGCGTCTTATCTCGAGAAGGATAAGTTAAAAATTGTGAGATCCGAATTTTCGAGTCTGTCGGACGAAGATTTCAATCTGCTTACTCGTAAAGGTGTATTTCCTTACGAGTACGTAGATTGCGTCGAAAAACTGAACGATACACGCTTACCGCCGCGTGAATCGTTTCACAGCTCGCTGACGGGTGATACAGTGTCCGAGAGCGATTACGCGCACGCCGCGAACGTATGGAAGCGGTTCTCCGTGCGAACCCTCGGCGAGTACAGCGATCTGTACTTGAAAACCGACGTATTGTTATTGACCGACGTTTTCGAAAATTTTCGCGAAAGTTGCGTCGCGAGTTACGGTCTCGATCCCGCGCATTACTACACATTGCCCGGTTTCACGTGGGACGCTATGCTGAAACACACGCGCGTGAAATTCGAGTTGCTCACCGATATAGATATGGTGATGTTTGTCGAGCGCGGTATACGCGGTGGCCTTAGCCAATGTTCCGGCAGATACGCAAAGGCCAATAACAAGTACATGGAGTCGTACGACTCGTCGAAACCGTCGTCGTACCTGATGTACTACGACGTTAACAATCTGTACGGATGGGCGATGTGTCAGCCGCTGCTCTACGCTGATTTTCGATGGGTCGAAGACGCCGCGAACTTCGACGCGAACGCGATCGCTCCGGATTCGCCCACCGGGTACATACTCGAGGTGGATCTCGAGTATCCACAACATCTTCACGACGCGCACACTGACCTACCGTTCTGCCCGACGCGCGATAAGCCGCCCGGCAAGCGCGAGAATAAACTGCTCGCGACTCTGTACTATAAACAGCGTTATGTCATTCATTACCGTAACCTTCAGCAATGCGTGAATAAGAAATACTTCTGCGACCGGTAAGTGCTATAAGTAAAATAAAATAGTAAGCTAAAAAATAATGTACTAATGTATGTTTTTTTTTTTCAGTTGCCTCCATTATTTTTGATTTTGAAAAAAATTTATACAAATTGATGAACAACGCGGTATTCGGCAAAACGATGGAGAACGTGCGCGATCGCGTCGACGTTAAATTAGTCACTACATGGGACGGGCGGTACGACGCGGAGGCATTGCTCGAATTTCCACAGCCGCAGCGTCTTTGCGGAAAACTTAATCGCCGTTGCATTACGTAAACTCGAGGTGAAGTTCGACAAGCCGATTTACGTAGGTGCTGTGCGGTGCTCGTACGACGACACGTTATCAGCGTATCGATGTCAGCGCGATAACGACTGCGTCAGCTGGTTCGCGCCAGCTTGACGATTTGGCGTACCGCGTGAAAAATATAATAACGACCAACCGGCCTATGGATTTCACGCGAGACGACTGGCAGAAATTCAACAGTGCGACGCACTGTCATATCTGTGAGAAACCGTTCGCGCCGGGTGATGAGCGGGCTTGCGACCATTGTCACCTCACCGGGCGATACCGCGGCCCAGCGCATAA